ACTGAATAAGATAAGCACCCAAGTTACATTCAGCAGGATCATACGAAGTGATAGGATTTACATGGGGAACACTTAGGGATCCCTTGGGTTTGATCTCTTCCCCAAAGACTAAGGAGGAGAAATAGGATGTTCTAGCTCCAGGAAGAAGGATTGGTTCTGGCCACTGTGCTTTACTCCAAGCAGTTTATCGCCATTGCTCAGTCGTGGATGTTTTTCCTCATGCATCTCACACATTCAGCATCATCTCAGTGATATTTTTAAAGGCTGTCCTGTGCCCTCATTTGTATTCAATTTCCTTTCGAGGGAAAATGTTAGGCATTTCATGCTATTCAAACAAAGTCAAAACAAAGCCTCCAAATAAGCACTTCTGAAATGTACCTAGTCATCTGAGTAATTAGACATTTTCCTAGCTCCAAATGCACTGAAAATCTATTGTCAGCTCCCAATGAATGTGCCAGCAGTTATCCTAACCAGGAAGAGTTCTCTCCTAAATGTTAACATACCGACAGAATAGAAGGTTAAGATACACTTACATTAGATCTCTCCCTACCTGAATTAATCAGTGTTTTTAATTACATAGCATCACCTGATCATAATTATTACTCTAGCAAGTTGTTCACCTTTCTCTGATGATATGATGCACAGTTGGCATTGCTCAAGCCAGGTCAGAACATGCTCTCACTGGCCAGGGGAAGTTCCCATTCCCAGTGCAGGCATGCATCCTTCACACCAAAGGGCAAAGTGTTCCACTCCTGAGTGAATCTGTGGCAAATCCTCACAGGGAGAGTCAGCTGTGGACTTCACACAGGTCACAAGCCCCTCAACACTCTGCTAGCAGAGGGAATTACCAGCTATGGGTGCAAACCAGCAGATGGCTGGAGTGGCTCCATGCCCCAGCAGTCCTCACTGTGTCCCTCCTGTCACACATCTGCAGTGCTGTCACCCTTCCACGCTCACAGAGCCCTCTGCAACTCATTAGCCCACAGGAGGCAGCCAGCCAGCCAGGCCAGTGGAGGAAGATGGGAGCTGGCAGAGAGAGAGGAGCACACAGCCTGGGGCACGAGCACACTGTTAGGATCACTCAGCTGCCTGGATCCGAAATCGCCCCATCACTGTCCATGGCCCCCGGGGATGTCCGTACCAGGGCTGCTGTGCATGTCCAAGTACTGCACGGCCATGCCACAGCACTGAGCAGTCACATCCCCACACCCCCAGCCTCCTGTGGGCCCAGGGTACGTGTGTGGAACTCCTCTGCATTTCCTCACCCAGCAGCCAAGCTACAGAGTGAGCCAATAGGGGAAATGCTCAGGCAGTGCCCAGTGACAGCCCCAGGCCTTTGGCACTGCCTTTGCACTGCTCTGCTCCACAGACTTCTTCCTTCAGTCCCCAGGGACACTGGGTCACACCTGCTCCACATCCAGCTTGCTCTCAATCCACTTTACGGTTCAAAGCTTAGCAGCAACTTTTACAAGTTTGTGACAGCTAAGGCAGTAGCCTGAAACAAAACCCACTCCAAATGGGAATATTGCTTCCCTTGCTTGGGAATATAGCCTTCCCTTGCTTCAGCAGACCCTTCCAACAAACCTTTCCCTCAAGACCTCTCTTCCTCTGGACAACCTCTACATGGTGCCATCTCCTCATGAGACTGCTTTAACATGGGACAGTACTGCCATTCACACCCACAGATTCATCAAAAGATTGGAAGGTAAAGAAACTGACACCAAAATCCACAGAATAATTCTTACTTCTACTCTTTCAATGAGAGGAAGAAGTGTTGATTCTCTTGCTGCCATGCAGCAAGAAGATCACTCTCAGTGTTTACAGGTGGTAGGGAGAACTTTATGTAATGTAACCTTCCCAAAGGAAAGTCTTTCAGTGCACAGAAGAAAGAAACAGCAGGAGAAGGTAGGCATCTCTCCCTTCTGGTATGCAGTGGATACGCCCAGATAGTGAGACATTTTGAGTCACATTTCTGGGATGACTAAAAGAAAGGAGCTGCATTTCAGAAATGCTATGGTCAAGCCTCCCAGGAGCTACGTGTGCTGAAGAATAAATCATAAAATCACTTCTGCAGATGGCAGAGGAGTAAGAAAGCCAGAACAAATGCAAAACACCACCTCACCTCGTGTTTCACACTAAGCACACAACTGCAGGACACCACCATGACTCTTCCCTACTATTCTTCCTTAAGTTTAGACACAGCCTTCTCACACAAGGAAACTCCATGGATGCACCAAGGCAGCCTTCCAGGTTTTGCTGACACCCCACCCAAGCTGAGTGGACTTTCAGTAAATCACCCACCAGAGTGTGTTGAAGCACACACACATCCACACAAGCACCCACACACACAACCTAGAGCAGGGCAGGACCACTCCAGGCACTGCTTCCATCCAGGCCCTCCTGCTCCAGGCCATGGCAGGACAAACACCTTAGAAATAGGTTCAATAAGATTTATTGAACCAAAAGGAAAAGGGAAGGAAGCAACATTCCCTCCCCAAGCACGCGCTCCTCTCCGCGAATCCTCTGACTTTGTGCCAAGTTCAAATCTCTTCTCCGCTTGGAAAGCCTGTCCTGCCAACAGAGACCCAGAAGGGAACTGGTGGAAATCTCAGAAGAGGCCAAGGCAGTTCCAGTGTCTGACCACACAGCAGGGCCCACTGTCCTCCACATCCGCCCGTCACGTCCCAACAGACATCTGCTGGGACAACAAGCTCACTTGGGATATGGTTTCCCACGCAGAGCACTTCATTCTAATATCTCTTGCTTTAAGATAAAAGAATCTTAAATGTCATTGTGCCATAGTAAAAATCACCATATGAATTTAAAAGGCAGAGGCAGGGGCATAACTTAAATGTTTTCAAGCTCCTGCTTTCTCTGACAGAAAGGTCTGTTGGAAAGCCGTAATGAAATGCAAAGCATGATGATCAATGATCAGAAACAGCAGCACTGACTGCTGCAGAACTTGGTGTTTGCCCAGCACACACCCCACCGTGCCACAGGACCAACATCCCCACAGAACCTGCAACCTCAGCTGCTCCTGGCCTCCCTTGGGGTTAACAAACCCACCCAGCACCCACAGCCACAGCTGCAGCCTGTGCCCAGCTGAAAACTCCACATCTGGGGAAATGCAGGTTCACAGGGTTGGCAGCAGCAGGTGCAGCAGCTGGATGGAGCTCACCCCCCTGGCTCAAGGGAAAAAGGGCACCCAGAAAGAGCAAGCAAAGGTAATGGCAACAGCAGGGCCAGAGCAGAGGGACCCACCGCCACACCAAACTCCCTCTACCAAAAGCTTTGTTCCTACAAGGTCCCAAATGCCCCAATTCTTCCATCAATTCCTCAGGGCAGGCAATCTGAGCACTTTTATCATCCCCTGCTTCACAGCAATTCCAAACTTTCCCCCTCAAACTCCAGTTCTGCCCCAACTGCCCAGATATCCACATGTGCTTTGCATTCCCCACATTCCTCCAGGCACCTCAACCAGCTGCCTCCCATCTGCTGCCCACCACAATTCCAGCACCAGGACCCACCCTTGTGCTCCCCCTACCTCACCAAGGCAGGGTCAGTGTCCTTACACTGCATTTTCTGGTCATCTACAGATTTGCAAACAAGCAGGCTATGTTGTGAGCTTGTTTGCAGATCTGCAAGTATCAGCATAAATGATAATGCAGAATGAAAAGTCCTTGACAGTGTCGGACGTTTGGGTTTTTATTTGTTTAACAGCCACTGTTACAAGGTTGGATGGGATGGAAACCCAACTGCCTTCCTGTAGCAAAGGGTGCAGTGGAGAGAACTGTTTTCAGAGCAGTGCTACCGTGTCCTCTGCACAGCAGGGACAGTGCCAATTGCACTGGAACCACAGAATGCTTTGGGTTGGAAGGGACCTTTTAAAGATCATTAAAGTCCAATCCCCTGCCAGCAGCAGGGACACTTTCTTGTCTAGTGCAAAATAAAAAAGCACCAACTGCTCCTCCAGCTATTCCCATCCAAGTGACAACTTCTACATCAAAGGGACTCCTTGAAGAGGGGCACATTCCCCAGGGTGCCAGACCCTTTCCAAGATCTCCCGTTGCAGAAAGGAAGGCTGAACGAGACACAAGCTGAAAAAGTTGCTGCCTGAGGCGCTGCTAGCACAGATGAGCTGCTATAAACCCAGGTTACCTGCAATAGCAGGACTCAGGTTTGCCCCTCTCTGTTCCTGCCCACGATGTCAGACCACTACAGTGCTGGTGATAGTTACTCGTCCCTGCAATACAGGGGCATGGCCACCGAGTCCAACCTGCTGTGTGGATGGCGCAGCAGACAGAGGGATTTGGGGGGGTTTGTAAAGCTTACAGAGCTTTACGTTCCTGCCAGGTCAGCCTGATGATTCTGTTTCCTTTCTGCTCGCTCGCTACGTCCTCGTTTAAAACAAAACAAACAAAGATAAAGAGAAGCGCTTCAAAGATTTGTCTCCGGCACGTTTAAATGCGCAGAGGCATTCTGTTCTGAGCTAGGCTTGAAGAGCGCAAAATTTCTAAAAACTAAGAGGAATGCCTACCATGCGGGCTAAAAGCAGCGCGGGCAGGGAGCACGGCCGCGTGTGTACACACAGCAGAGGCAGGGAAACGGAGGGGGACGGGCAGAGGGCGAAGAACCATCCCCGGAGAAAGGGATGCGCACCCCGAGCCCATCCCTGCGGGCACTGCCCGGGGAAAGGCGGCGGTACCGGGGCAGCCCCAGCCCGCGCCGGGGCTGCGGGGACCCGCACCGCGAAGGTGACCCCGCACAGCCCGGACAGACGGCAGCAGCCCCCCGCCCTCCGCGGGGCCGGGAGCCCCGCACCGCCACCCATCCCGAGAGCCACGGGAGGAGCCGTGCCCGTCACTGCGGTAGCGGCGAGGGGCGGGAAGGGCCCTGCGGCTGCGGGAGGCTCGCACAGGTGATGGGAACGGGGCTCGAGGAAGCAGCCACGGAGCCGGGGAGGAAAGGGGGTGCGGTCCGCGCCCTCGCCCGCCCGTTACCTGGGCACGCAGCTGGGGCTGGAGCCGTCGATCTCCCAGGTGGCGAAGAGGTTCATAGGCACGGGCCGCCCCAGGGCCCCGGTGCCGCCGGGGAAGCTGAGGCGGCTCCGCTCGGCCGCCGCCGCCATGGCTGTGCCCGCCGCCCTGGCGCGCGCCCACCGCGCCGGGCCGCCGCCGCCCCGCCCCGCCCGCGGGGGGCGCGTCACGGGGCGGGGCCGGGGGCGGGGGCGGGAGGGGAGATGGGCGGGGCTTACTTGGCGCGGCTGGAACGGGGCGGTGCTGCTGAGGGGGCGTGGTCACAGTGAGCATGATGGGCGTGGCCATGCGGAGGGGCCGCGTTTGCTCTAAGGGGCGCGCCCGAGGGGGCGTGGCTATGATAGGGGCGTGGTCTCTCATTGGCGCATGCGCGCGCGGGGCGGCCGCCCTTCCCACGGGCGGGCGGAAGTGCCGCCGGTGCGGCGGCCGCGCACCGGAAGCGGTGGTGGCAGTTTCCGGGTGGCTCCGTGGCAGGGCGGGCGGCGGGCGCGACCATGGTGCTGCTCACGATGATCGCCCGCGTGGCGGACGGGCTCCCCCTCGCCGCCTCCATGCAAGAGGACGAGCAGGTGGGGCCGGCGAGGCGCGGGCGGGGAGGGGCCGGTGTGTCCGTGAGGAGCGGGCGGGGGGCGACCCACCGGGAGCCGCGCAGTCCCTTCTCACAGCAGGGCGGCTCCGGCACCGGCGCTTGCCTCCCGGTGGTGGCGGGTGGGACGGGCAGAGCCCGCCGGTGCCGTGGGGCCGGTGCCGGCGGCCCTGGAGCCCCCCGGTGTGTCCGGTCAGCCGCTCTCCTCCCTCCCTGCCTCCTCAGTCAGGCCGCGACCTGCAGCAGTACCAGAGCCAGGCCAAGCAGCTCTTCCGCAAGCTGAACGAGCAGTCCCCGACGCGGTGCACGCTGGAGGCGGGAGCCATGGCTTTCCAGTGAGTACCGGCAGCGCTGCGGGATCGCGGCTCCCCGGGAACCGGCCGGGGCTCCTTGAGCTGAGCTGGGGTTTGCTGGAAACGGGGCTGCCTGTCAGCCCTGCTGCCAAGGGAGAGTGTATGAGCTGGCACTGCTTGGCACAGGTGTCTGGCGCTTGGTTTTCATCCAGGTTCGTGGTTCTGCCTGTGCTGCAGACAGTGCAGGTTCTGTTCCCTCCCTGCCTTTCTCTCTGTTGTGCCCTCACTGCATCTTCTGGGCGGCCTGTGTCTCGTCTTTAAAGAGATCTGTCCTTGTACAGCCTTGTATTGTGAGCTCCTGCTGCCCAGGACTGTCCTCTCTGTGCCCTGTGAGAGCTCAGCTTTCATGAATTACAAGCACATCGAGCATCTCTGAATATTTCTATTATTGTTGTCTTGATACCTGACAGAATTCTTTCTCTCATCCAGTAAATTCAGTCTTATTATTGCTAGATTTGTTGGGTGTGTTTAATTAATTTCCTTAACTCTTTGGGAGCTCCTGACTTAAAAGCACTTTTCGCATTCTCCAGTACTATTCGTGCAAGAGAGCGTGGTTATGAAATAAGGAAATCTTGCAGAGGTCAGATATCCTTACTCCTTAATAGCAGGGGAGGTGAGTGAACAGAGTTGGAAAGCTTGTGTGTGAGGAGGGAAATGCTTCTTTCTGTGCCATGTCATTGACTGGCAGAGTAATGACTGAGCACTTAGTCAGGATCCTGCTGGGAATCAGCATTGTGCCATGACAGGAATGGCTGTTGGAGGGCTCAGGGGCCAGGTGAGCTCTCCAGGCAGAGCTGTGCAGCTGTGGCAGGAGTGTGCCAGGATCCCCACGGTGCCACCCTCAGCAGCATCCCTCTGTGTCAGGTGACTCCAGTGGCTGGGTGTGTGTCTGTGGCTGGCAGAGGGGGAGGTGGCCTTTGAATGCAGGGCAAGGTTGGCTTTGGGCCTCTGCTCCAGCAACAGGAGCAAAATCTCCCACCCTGACCCTTTCTTCAGAGATTCAGAGGCGTGAAGAGATGAAAACTGGAGTTTTTTGGATGGGCAATCTCTGACAAAAGCTGTGAGGTTTTGGGGGATGCTGTTCTTGTGGTTGTCGTTTGTCTGCTAACTGCGACAAGATTTATAAAAAAACCTTTTCCTTCTGGTTGCTTTTGATAGGGAGTTACAGTGTCAGAGGATGGCCCTGATTGGCCTGGCCACCCTTATCTCCTGCTGGATTTGGGTGTTGTTGCTGGAGTTAAGTGCTAACTGCTGCTCTTCCTCTTGCTTTTTCTAAAATTAAATCTTCACAGAATTTAAAAACTGCCCTGTTTCTGAGTGTCTACTTGGCACAGCATGGGTGTAGCTCTGCCTGGCAGTGAAGCCTTGGGAAAAAGCCTGTGTAGATCCCAGTAAATCCCTTCTTGAGTTACCTCCATGATGCAAGCAGGGAGATGTCGGGGAAGGTGGCAACACTTGCCCAGGAAATCAAAGCCTCTTAGTGTGGCTGTACTGACAGCAGTTGTGATGAGGAGCGAGGGCTTGGGCAGGCCTGTTTTGCCAGCTGTCCCAAAGGAGCAGCCAGGTTACCTGGCTGGGACAGGACTGTTCCTGCTCCTGGGCTGAGTTAGTCCCTGGATGGGTTTTGCTGGCCACTGACAGCTGCTGCTGCAGAGCACTTGCTTCTGCCTACTTTGAGGTGGGACATTACAGCAGGACCTGTGTGGAAAGAACAATTTCAGGTCAGAAACTTTCCTCTGCAGGGAGGGGAGGTGACAGGGGAATTTGAGATTTAGTCTGAAATAACGCTGACCCATGGCCACGCTGCTCACCAGTCCTGTGCCAGACCAGAGCTCTGAGTGCTGAGGGCAGCACAAAGCAGGACAGAGCAGTCAGCAGCACAGCCCAGGGTATTGCTGGGGAGTGGGGTGAAGCTGTTTTGCTGAGGTGCTGTTGAACATCTTCAGCTTCATCAGTTCAAAGCAGAGCCGAGCCTTCCTGAAACTTGAAATTTAAATTGTGAGCCCTTGGGTGATTTCTGCCAAATGCTGTGCCAAGGTTTCAGCTGCAGGAGCTGTGTCAGCCTTGCAGCAGCAGCACTGGTGCTGTGCAGGTACAGGAACACCAACAGCTCTGCTGTGCTGTCAGTGAGCAGGTGACCTTTGGCTGATGAATGGCTGAAGTGATTCCTACCTGTCATTTAAAAGCAACCCTTGGCCTTTGCCACTGTTACCAGGATAAAGCTTTTCTCTCTCAAAATGCCCAGTGTGATTACAGGAGACCTGCTGGCTGCACTCTGAGCAGAGTTAACAGTGGCAAGTGGCCACATCTGCCCCTTCTGTGAGGACATGCAGGCAGGTGCTGTGCTGAAGCTTGGAGGTGCACACAAAGTATGAAACTGAGAGGCCCAGCTGGGCAGGAACTCCAGTCTGAAGTTGACAAAATTGTCTGAATCTGGGGCAGAGTGAGATGAGCTCGCTCCCCGTGGTGCTGACAGACCAACTCTGAACCCAACACCCTGAATATCACACCAGGGAGAGGCAAGTGGGAAATGCAGCTGAGGAGCTCCAGGCAGGACCAGCTGGGCCAGGCAGAGATAAACAGAGCAGGAACAGGGACCTGTTCCTCAGAGTGCTCTCACCTGGAGAGTGCTGCTCCAGCAGTGCTGTCAGAATTCCCTTCTGACACTGGTTCTCCTCATTTCAATAGATTTGCTCAAGTCTTGCTCGTCATGGCAGTGGCTAAATCAAGCTCTGGGTGATGATCTTTAGCAACCCCAATGTGGCAAGCAGGTCTCCAGGGGTAAGGGAAGTGATGCAGTCCAAGCTGAGGAACATAAAAAGGACCAAAGGCCACGGGCACACGGGGAAATGCTGTGGAATGGATGATGGCAGCTGGAGTTTCTTCTTCTGGTTGGGGTGAATCTGTTGTTGTTTGAAGGCTGCCAGGGTTCACACACGGGCCATATAGAGGCAAGAGGAATGGATACTCCTGAGCCCAGGAACAAGGTGAGGATGGCTAATTTAAAGGACATGGCCCTGCTGGGGTATCTGGAAAAACAGTGGGGAATGGGGTGAAGTTGTTTTGTAAGCTTGATGTGTCTATTAACAAAATTTTAAGCTGCTTATTTTACTACAGTGCCCTCAGGACTGGATCACTTCTTTAATACACTGCTAATCTTTATGCTAACCAGACTAATGCTTAATGGCATTATGCAGAAAGTCAAAGGAAGGTAACCTAAAAGTAGCATTCACACTCCACCCTGAAGAATATAGATAAGCATTCAAAAGTGTTTACAGGACTGTTTACTGTCTCCACCCCCTTGCTTTTGGTGGGAGTATTGTAGCCTTTATTTTTATATTGGCTAAGTGAGGAGGAAAATTCAGATGGGAATGTGGAGCAGCAGAGTGACAAAGTGAAGCCTAAATAATCTCAGGGTTGGTGGTGGGTGAGAAGAGGACCCGTGTGCCCTCAGCTGGGGGGGCAAAACAAGCAGCTTTACATAGCAGCAGGAGCATCACTGTGTGCTTTGGAGCTCCTCACCTTGCAGCCAGAGAACTGCTGGCATGGTCACACCCACCCATGGTGAGCCTGTAAGGTCACCAGAACCCACCTAGCAGCAATGCCCCTCCCCAGCTGCCCCTGTGGTGATGCATGTGCACAGCAGCACCCCTCTAGCAGGCTGGTGGTGGTGAGGAAGGGGATAGCCAGCTCTCTGAAATGGAGAGGGACAGCTGGCAGGGACTGGGTGCCTTCCCAGCACGCTGAGACCAAACTCCTGTGTGTGCCTCCTCGTCTCAGTGCCTCAGCTTCCCATTGCTGGGCCTCGGGTAATTGGCTGTGCTGCCACTTAGAGACGTGTTGGCCACCTTCCCCTCTGTTCTGCTGGCAAACTTTCCTGTGCTCCCCTCCTCCTGACTGCAGGGTGTTCTCTTTTTTATACTCCAAAATTACAACTCTTTTGTTGCTGGTATTTTGTTAAGCTAATGGCATTCACAGGGCAGCTTTTGTTCAGCTGAAGTCAAAGCCCAAGACTGTTGGCATGGGTGTAGGGTCTGAGGCTACAAGAAAATTTATTTTGGCTGAAGAAAATATAAGCCATTGCTTTGCAGAAAGGTTTACACTTGATCCAGACATAGAAAACCAGAAGTTCTTGTAGCCAGTTCTCATTGCC